ATTTTTTTTATTATTCATTTAACGCTTGCAGGTACGACACACCGTTTCGCCGCACGTATGTAGTGGTTTAGTTCGTTAGTTATGTATTTATTCTTTTCTATTAGCTTCGTTTTTTAATTGTTTATATGAATCATGACCCTCGACAGTCCTTTGAGCGATTGCTATTGAAATAGTTAAGTACTGCTTTCAAAACCGCCTAGGCGCAATTGAAAGTAGCGAATTGCTTTTATATCTTTATACGTAATTTAGAGAAAGTGATTATCGGACAAAATCTGTATCTAGTAAGAGTTAGATAAAGTAATAGGTAAAACTCCATAAATTTCAGTATAATATTATAATGTTACAGGAGTATTTAACCTGGACTTTTTAGTGTCTGCTTTTTTGATGTCCTTCTTTAACTCAATTCGACTACATCCCGTATATGTTTGATTATTACTTTAATCAAATTCGAGTGGCTGTTATGAATAACATGAAATTTTACATTAAATATGTCTGACAAATAAACAGCTGTTTTACAAAACTCCTATGGACACATACACTTATTATAATATGACATAGGTTTTACATAATTTTAGAAATACGTTTTATTTATTATTTATTATTCGGTTAAATATGGCATTCCAAGAACTCTAAGAGTCTGTACGCGTGTTTTGTAAAACGCCTAGGCAAATGACACATATGTCAGTCACAATGCAGAACTTGACTGCTTGTTTTACGTTTTACAATTTTCCAACTATTTTCTTCTAAAAGCCTTGCACACAGTTGTGAGAATCCAAGAAATGAGTGCAGAAAAAATCATTTAGGTCATAAAGCATATAATTAGGTAAAGCAAAATTCGTCATCGCATGATCTAGTGTTCCTTGCGCTTACACTATCGACAACAAATGCATTCTTCAGTTCGAACACACCTTGTCCTTTCTTCATCATTATTATTATTATCTACTTATACCAAGTGTTTTCGCCATGGAAGCAATGCTGTAATCTGTAATAACTAACGCGATATTTATAGCAGTAGTGCGCATACTTTTGTGTGCGTCATATATGTATTACGTATACAGGGGAGGCAAAATGTTAACCGATTATAGAATTTACGCGTTCGTTTGTCTGTAATTTCTCTTATTATCTCGCAAAAGCGTGGTGAACGTGTCTGAAAATTGTCCTAGAGTAACCGAATTCTCAAAATCTTTTGACCAAAGCGTAACTTCCCTCAAAAGATTTAAATTGCATTCATTGGATACGTGTAGGCCGTCAACTTGCCACTAGTGTATATTAAATTGTTGTACGTAGCCCCCATAGATAAATACACTGTAGAAGTAATGCGACATTTGGTTAACCGTAATTTCAAAGTAAGTGTAAAACAACCGCCGACGATGGTACAACTTACGCTGTTAGTGAAGGTAAAAGGTTGACCTTCACATCGTGGCTTTATTACAATAACATTATTACGTGCACATCGCTTTACCTAGCTCCAAAGTGCACTCTCTTTCGTACTCTCTCACACGCAAGACAAAGAGTTATGTAACGAGAATTTTTATCAATCGTTGCTACGGTTTTATGAATCTGCTTCGATTCTGTTTTTAGGAAGGCGTAGAAGGGCCAAACTTAATTTTTTTTTTTTTTTGAAATTTCAACTTGTTGACTCGAGATGTTAGCCGTAATTGTTAACGAAAATAATAATTTTACTCATCGGTGTTGTGACGGTTGATGTCTGCGATTGAATTGCGTTATTGGGTTAGATTGAGATTGGTTCAAACGTGTTAACAAAAAACACACTTCGTTCTTCTTGTCTTTACAAACCCCAATAATCCTAACTTAATTGAACTTGAGGGTATCGTTGGTTTGATTGTAATGATAAAGTTACAATAGGTAGACATAACACGAACGAATTGTGTTGTAGTGTTCTTGTTTTTTCTTAAAATTGTCATGGCTTAAACTGGGATTGAGTTAGGTTACGTTAGGTTGCGATTCAATAGGCATTTAGAGTTACAAATTGGAATTTCGAGTTGCAAGTCGAACATTTGAGTTACAAGTCGAATTTTCGAGTTACAAGTCAAAAATTAAAAAAAAAATATTTGTTCTTTATGACGACTGTTGTTTAGTAAATATTCAAAAACGCTATGCTTAATAATGCAAAATTATGAGTCGTTTCTATTTTGCGTTACTTTGTCTTTGTCTGAATCTAGAGCTTCTCTCAATGAACATAATCGTTAAATTACTAACGTACCCAACGAAACTTCCCTTCCTAATCAAGGCGTAGTGAAAAATTACATACCTACCAGAGTGTGAGACATTATTATTTACTTTTCCTGCCCAGGAAATTATATCGTTTTGGATAGCAATTGGGAAATTAACATTTGTAACGGTGTCGCCCGCTATTTGCCCATGCAAAAAAAATCTAGGTACGTCCCTGCGTCGAAACTACATAAAACCCTTAATTACGTACTTATTAACACCTATTGAATAATAACTGACCCCGGTATCTCGTTAGAAGTCTCTCAAATAGCAGCTGATATAGAAGCTTCACTGTATTACTTAATTAATGTAAGGGGAAGATGTATACCAAATTGCAAACTAAATAATTCTGATTGCGTTATTGGTGCAATATGTAATTATGACTCTAATACGAATATTGTATTATTAAAGTATGTAGCAGTATAAAACTGCATTCGGCTAGCAATCGGCGTTTGCGCAATCACTTGATCTAATCATCATTAAATTATCGTGAAAGTTTGTTTTTTCAGACAGTTTAATTCTTATATGTGTAACTGTTTTATTCAAAATGGTTTTACAGCATTGTTTTTTCTTTTAAATACATTACATCGGTAAAATCTTACGAATGATTTATGACACCGTCCTATTTGATATTTTTGGATTTGGTATTTTATTTTAATAATTTTCTTTTTTAATTAATTAGCTTATCTATAAGGAATTAAGAAATTCATTTGCTACAAGAGTGACATTTACATGTATAGTAGAGATAGCTGATGATCTGATGTAGAAAGGAAAGTTAAATAAGTGTAATTTTAAATCAATTACTGTCTTGTCTGTTTTCATCTGGTAATTAAGGACCCTCGATTCGTTACATCTCTCTGACATTAGTTATTAAACACGTAGATAATTATACGTATCTAGATTAAAAATTAGCGGTAACAATGTGCACCCTTGTCTAACTCCCTTTTTTCTAACAACATATATGGTGAATTTACCCAGTTTAGGTTTGGAGAAGGTTGAAACACGTTACAGTAAATTTAGTTAGTAAATACGAGCGATTTTAGTATTTTGAATTATGAATAAGTCATTTAATATACACGATAGAGGTTTGCTATTTACACCAATCGGTAACCCGTGAATGATAGAATAACTTTTGTCTTGAAAAATTTTTAATAGGGTGTCTACTTTATTCGTTATTTGAAGAAATGCGTCGGAGATATCAACGGTGCGTTAAGCGACGAACCCGTGTGTTTCTGACTAATGCGTAAGAAACACTTAATTTATGATCGATAAGTTTGATACTTTTTGGTGTTCTTGGTTAATTTATATTCAATATTTGATAGTTTTAGCGTCGAATAGCAGTTCGCTTAAATTCTTAAATGATTTTCGTCTAAGAGAATAATGAAACTGTTTCGTTTCTCGACAAAAATGTTTAAATTGAATGAATAGCAGGAATATTATAATTAATAAGAACGGAACTTTGGCTTACGTGCTTCTCTCGTATTTTGGAAAAGTAGATACCTTAGTAACGCCCTTATCTAACGTTTGGAATGCTTCAATTAGCAGAAGGTATCAATAGATGGCGACATGCTTTCATATCTCTCGATATTACCTAAAATAATTTCCAAAAGTTGGACAAAAACACCACGTCCTTCTCTCTATGTTGGAAACGAGTGAACTTAGAAATTATGAAAATGCAACGTCTGCATAAAAAAGAAAGCAATAAGGGCTGTTCTAACCATTATATATTTTGGGAAAGTCCCGATTTTGTATAGTAACCGTTCAGTCTGCAGAATTTTCTTTTTCGTGTAAAGGATAATGTTAATTAATTTTATCTATAGTTATAGTCCTGCTGTTGTAATAATAAATAGTTTGTGGGACGCGCTGTTTATTTAAGGAAACTATTTTTTTATTGAATTGAAGGTCTGACAAGGCTGGGCAAACATATAAACTTAAATCTTCGATAAATTGTTGCAATTAATATATTATTAAGTAAGAATAATCAAGTCAAGGTGTTCTGCAAATATCGTAGCCCCCATAGATAAATACACTGTAGAAGTAATGCGACATTTGGTTAACCGTAATTTCAAAGTAAGTGTTGTTTTGAATTATTTTATATTTTTAGTTGATTCTCGAGGGCTTTATTCCACGTTATCTGTATGTAGCTTTTAATAATATTATCAAAATTTGCCAAAAATTAGTCAGTATTGGCTAAACTTGACGCATGACACTTCTGTCAGACACGTAAGGCTAGTTAGAAATATATTAGACGCAGAAACAGAAGTTACAAAGGGTAGAGGTAGATCTTTTAAAGTTATTAGGAATTAGGAAACATTTTAATTAGTTTTATTAAATTTTCTTCCCCTTGTAACAATATCTAATTCATTGGAGCCACAATAGGGTTGTATTAACACTTTATTATTTTTCCNCAGGTGTATCATTGAACGAGAAGGTCAATCAAAATACCACCCAAACCAAAATGGGTCCGCTTAATACAACTTTAATTGATCTTAATTATTCAAAAAGTGTTATTTATCACTGTCAAGTCATCATATCTGTCGTATACAAGGTGTTCTTTTAATGTGTTAAACGTTTTTATATTTTTTTTACTCAATCTAACTTGATTAAGAATTTGTTTTTTATCATTTGGTCTTAAGTTCACTGGCATATTCACGTTTAAATTTCCCTCTATGAAAAAAATCTAGCGGGACATCTATTAGAAAATGTCCCAGTTAGCGTAATAACCACCCTATTAGTTTAAATTAAGAAAGTGTAAGAAAAATGGTAAATGTTGGTTATCAGTTTTATTTAAAAAATAATTATTTACATCTACGTAATTGAAAAAAGAGTTTTTAGGGCAAAGTAAAAATAAATACAATACAATATGTTATTTATTATTAGGTTTTGACGATTATTTGATCTCCGGTTTGTATAGAATAAAAATCAATTTCTTTTCCGTCGTCGTCCAGTTCTATTTCGATTTCGGGTTGACTATTCGAAATGCAGACTAAAATAGGTCTTTCGGACAAATTAAACAGTCTCTGAACTAACATTGTCAGTTTCCTGACTTGTATTGTGGGGGGCAAGCATTTTATTTTCTCTTGGTCTTCATAGACAAGTTTCAATTCGATTAAAGAACCACTTATACACTTGGGTTGTTGTTTAAGCTCCGATTCCTCAGGAGAACCATATTCTTAAAGAGAAAACATAATTTAGAACCAATAAAATAATAAATTAGAAAAAGGCATCGTACTTTCCATTAATTCTAAGTATCTGTTATGATTTGCTAAAAACTCTTTTCTTTTTTCGTCGTCGTCTCTTACAGAAAACCATTCCAATGCGTACTTTTTAAGATAATCGTACTCGGCCCCTTTTCTTTCTTCCGGTTTAATTAATGTTCCGTTAAAGTACTGCAGACTGGCAATTCTAGCGATTACAATTTGAAAACAGGTGGCATAGTTTTCTTTTTCCAGCACTGGATTCCTCAGAAGGCGTAGCTCTTGTAGGTTTCCCAATTTATTTAATTCTCCTATCGAATTCCACTGAAGCAAATAAAGCAAATAATTATTTTCGGGAAAGTTGAGGGACTTTAATATACTTTACGTCTGATATTTCGTTGTTTGTAAGAGTTAATTTCTTCAAGTTTTCAAAGTTATTGCAGGCATTATCGCCGTCTTTGCAAGGGAACTTAATTTCTTTTATTCCAGTATTTTCCAGTATTAATTGTTCTAGTGTCTTTATAACTCCCAATTTTATTATCTCTTCCCATTTTCCCACCTTATTGTCTTCAATGTCTAAGAGTTGTAATTTTTGAAAAGAGTGACTTGGGGAAGTGTTTAGAGATGTTATTTGGTTCTTCGGGGCCCTAAGTTCTTCAAGTTCGGGAAACACAACTGAAAGCTTTTGTAAATCTGTCCAGTTTAAATTCATGGCACCGCAAATTAATGTTTTAATACTTTCGAATTTGAAATTTGTGTAATTGTCTGGGATAATAAGGAGATTTTCGCTAAAATCAAAAATAGTTTAGAATAGTTTTCTTAAGATAGCTTTTATACATACCTAACATTAAGCCACGACAGTTTCTTTAGTTGGGAACAAATCTCGAAAACTTCAGTCCATTTTGTAAGTAGATTTTTCGAAATATCTAATTCAACTATGTTTGGGCACATGATCTCCAAAGCGTTTGGTTCTCCTGGACAATTTACACATTGCAAACGAATATTAACTATCTTGAGTTTATTAAAGTCACTAAAATGTTGAAAAACTTTTTTACAAAACTCCTTTTAATTAATGAAGTGTATATTGATACTAGAATTATTGGTAGTAATGTAATATACCTTTGAATGTCACTGACTTTATCAAATCCAACTAATTCTAAGAATGGGGCATTCATGGTGCGTTGTAAACTTAGTAGCTGCTGTTTGTCATACGCATTATTGTTATCACTTTTTTGGCCATACCGTGACTGAATAGCGGTTACTGCTGACTGACCTACATTGACCTTTTCTGGACGAACGAATGATGCCGACCTGGGGTACCTGATAAAGGAATATATTATCTTTGAAGTATAAGTGGCAGATGTGGAATTTACAGTACCCCCTCTGAAGTAAGCTCCACAATATGAAAAAGAAACTAACTTAACCTTACCCAAACCTCACCTGTTTTAGGTGCTACGGTAAGGCTTATCTCAGTTTCTCCTAACAACTTCATGGAGGGTGTTGTGAACTCCACTTTTACCGAATAAGCATAACCAAAAAACTTTTCACCAGCTCAAAATGAATTTGATTTAACTATCATTGTTTTCCACTTACCTGGCTGTAAAATATTGTTTGTCACGAACTATACCATTGTGCTTTCCACGTTCGGGGTCATCCCAATCGATCCCGTACCAAGTTCCAGGATAACCCTCTACTTCCCCAATATATTTTATTGTTCCATACTGACCCGCACATTCTATTCTGTCCCCTACACATGGTGTTTTACCTGAGATCATAGCACTTTCGTGTTAAAAAAGCATATAAAATGTTGATGTATACTTCAAACTTCTATTACGATTCAATGACTGTTGATGAATAATACATGTGGGCGTATCACATTACTGTATGATTTAGAGTACAATTTTTAAATTTAGATGTTCAATTTTTAATTAAAATTGATAAAAAGGCACGTATAACAAAGTTAATATTTAATAAAATTGTCTCAATTTTTGAGGTTATGTAAACTGTTATTAAAATTTTGAAGTAGTGTCTCGTTAACCACTTATTACATTTGGTTTCCTAAAGTGTAGATAGTCGAATGTTATTGAGACTATTTAAGTTTCAGAAAGTATACATACTTTAAACAATTTGTTTTAAAAATTAATATTATTTAGTTTATTTTTATTTAAATTATTTTTTATCTTTGATAGTGTAGGTTGTTGTAGATACTATCAAACAAGTGTCAAATGTCTGTTATCTATGGTCAAAAATGGTTCCTGTTGCTGTTAAATGTAGTGTTTATGATACATTTTTGCTAAAAATTTTGTCATTATTTCAAAAATACGTAATTAGAACAAAGTAATTTAATGTAATTTTAATTTTCTGTTCCTGCAGTGGTGGAAAAATTAAAAATACAAGTCGTTTAATGTGTATTTTATAACAGCAGTTTGTATAACCTCAATGACAATCGTCAAACTACAGTTTCAAAAACTGTTTCATTTTACATAAAATTTAATTTTAACGATATGACGGATTTTCAAAAGGAGTTCCTTAATGCACTTATTAAGAAAGAAGAACCAGAAAATGCAGACGACGAACCAGAATTGTATGGATTTCCAAATGAAAATAAAACACCTGATGAGGTTATACTTTTAAAAGTCGAAAATAGCGAAGACTTTGCAAAAGATGATGTTGTGTTCATAAAAGTTGAGGATGACAACGAAAAAGAAGCCAAAAATGAATACAGTTTGGCCATTTTATTCAAATGTGAAGTATGTAACAGATGCTTTACTGATAAGCATGAATGTGAAATGCATGTTAATAATCATGATGATGATAAGGAATCGCTACTTTGTACAGATTGTGGAATGCTATTTATCCGCCAGAAAGATTTGAATAAGCATATGCTAGACAATCATCCTGACAAATTTGAAGAACCTGAAAAAGAATCCATAAGGAAAGAAGAAACAATTTTAGAATGTGGTATCTGTGCAAAATATTTTTATTCAGAGGACGATTTAATAGCCCATTTTAATTCCCACGTTACTAAAGAGTGTAATGTGTGCTCTCAAAAATTCATAACTGATAAAGAAATGAAAAAGCACCTTTGTAGTTGTAAATGTAAACTGTGTGACAAGGTTTTCATAAACGAACGGTCATTTAAATCCCATTTAAGGAATCATGCCACAAATCCTCATCTATGCACTCTCTGTGGCAAGAGCATTAAGACTAGTACAGATTTTAAAAGACACATGAATATCCATGAAGGAAATAAACCATTTAAATGTAGTTACTGCAATTATAGATGCTCGAAGAAGTCAAATTTGGTTACCCACACTAGGTTACACACTGGAGAGACTCCGTACCAGTGTGAGAAATGCGGGGAACGTTTTACATACAAGACAGCTTTCAATAATCATGTTTTGACTCATAACAGTGAAAAGATGTTTTATTGTGCTTATTGCAACAAGAAATTTGTTGCATATTCTATTCTGATTGCTCACGAACGTTCTCATACTGGAGAGAGGCCCTACAGTTGTGGCACGTGCCGTAGAAGTTTTTCTGCGAGGTCGACGCTCAAGAAACACATGAAATTACATTCGAAAGATTACTGCTTCATTTGTCACGTTTGTGGACGAGCTTTTAAGTCCAAGGCGTCGCTAGACTCCCATTTGCAACTGCATGCTGGTAAAAATCAGTTTATTGAGGTAATGATTAATTCCACAAAAATGTTCAAATGTATACATTGCGACAAGTTATCGAGAACTAGTAACAACGCTTTGAGACACCTTAAAATACATACTGGGGAGAAGCCCTTCGTTTGTGTCATTTGTGGGAAAAGTTTTAGCGAAAAGGCGTCCCTTAAAGGTCACCTTCGGATCCATACAGACGAAAGACCGTATACATGCGAGTTTTGTAACAGTTCTTTTAGGGACAGGTCAGTGTTACGACGTCACATTAGAAGGAGACATTCTGTGGCTAACGAAGTCGAAATAGAGCTAGAATTCACAATCGCCGAAGAAGAACGTGCTGATAGTCCGAAAGAAACCACCATTTTTCTTGACGATGGTTATGAAATGGAGACCGGTGATTCGTAGCGTTTTGTACAATGTAGAACTTAAATTAGGCTCTCAAAGCCGGTGTTATCTAATGAAGAATAGATGTTTTCTGGGTTAGGGGCCCGTGGTCGATGACAGACATAGGGGACATCTTCAGTGGGCACACCAGCCCGGAAAAGATCGGTTCTTCATTTTTGACATTGTTAATTTTGTGTTAAATGCTTCTTAATAAGGTCACTGTACCTAATCATGTTCCCACTGATGAATGAATAAATATATGTATTATTATTAAGGAATCAAATAAAATAATTTGAAACTTTCACTTTTTTTTACGTTTGAATTATTTCGCGCTGTATTTTACATTTTGCCTTGTGAGCGCCCTCTTGAGGACAACGTGTGTGTCTTGTTTCGCAGTTAGTTGCTAGAGTCTTGAAAAAGGTGGCGCGGTATATCACATTTTTAATTACTTTGGCGCCTCTTATATGATAAAATCAAAAGACTGCGTTACTTTGTGGTTTATAAAGGTAATTACGTAAAATCACTACATTATTTATAATGAAGCAAACATTTAAGTGGTTGTTTTTGCATGACTTATTGTTATTGGTCGTGCTGGTCTTTATTTTTTAGCAGGGTGAAAAATGAGTAAGATCCTCGTGCTATCTGAAAGAAAATTGATAGTTTTGAATTATAAATATTTAAGGGATTGTCTTATTTATTTAGGGACCGTCTATAAAATACATCGCTCAGAATTTGACTTATTTGAACCTCTCCCTTCGTCAAACTAAGTCACTCACTCAGCGCCCCCCCCCCCCTCTAACAAATATTACGTCACTAATGTTAGCCCATCTTCCTCTAGACGATTTCTTGCAATTAAAAAAAATGTTTATTTGCAGGCTTAAACATGTAGTACTTGAAAAAAATTAAAATAAATCATAATACATCCCACTGTCCCTTTGCCATATCTCACCACGCTAAGTAAGACCCCTCCCTCCTACTTATTTGCCAACATATTTTATGAACGAGCCCTTAAAGTGCGTCAGTGTTAACATATTACAATTGTACTTACTGAAACGAAAGTTGTTAGTGTTAACGTCGTAAATTTTCCAATTGTAAAGTGAACGGGCTTCATCATTCGCTGCATACTGATCAGCATTTTCTTCTTGAAGTTTTTATCGGAAGAATACCAGTCGCCATCATAAACAGCAAATGGCAACTCATGGCCCTTTTGTTAGTGAAAATAAAAAGCGATCTTTTGGTTATTGAAAAAGAGACAGCAGTTTTATAACTGTAATGATGATTAATAATCTTAAAGGTTTGTGTTTTTGATTTCATGTTTGCCTTTTCAAATAATTCAGAATTAAGAAAAAGCTCGTACTCACCATAAGGGTGACCTTATTCCCAAAATAACAATATTGATATATTTGCCATGTAATTGCAAGCATGTAATTCAATTCTACAACGAATTTTCCACTGGCCAGAGGGACCTTAAATAAAAATTCGGTTTTGGTAAAATTTATTAAATTCCTGTTGATAAATTAGGTAACGCTTAATGTTATAGTTTCGTCAGTTCAGCAGCAAATAGTTCTTCTATATGCTGCCTTATTTGCCTTTGCACCTGTTTTAATTGTAAAAAGACACTGATGCCAAAATAGTTTGCTTAGCGTGAAAGATCAGAGTCAAAATAGGGTTGCAAATAATTTTATTGATGTCATATCAACATCAATCAATTTATATCAAAATATTTACAACCGCATTTTCTTTCTGACCTTTTACATATTGTAATAAGATACAGAGATGGAATCCATGGTTTCTTTAGCTTTGGGTTCATCTAATAAGTCAAATTTTTCGAATTGTTTTCTAAGAATTTTGGATTATACGCATTTATTAGCACACCACAATACCTTATAGTTTTCAGTTTTACACAGCTGGCGTATATCAATTCGATATTGTTTTGGGTGCTGTTTTGTCGTAATTCATAGAATTTCGTAGTTCCTTGCTAAAGGTACGATAATTGGTGATTTGGCAGGTGCTGATATCAGTTTGGAACTTCAAAATTCCATGGACCATATGGTATTGAACCCGAAAAATAATATCAATCCAATATTTTAGATTATCCATTTCCAAGGAGTTTAGAATTTTTTGAGTTCTCTTTAGTTAAAGAATTAGAAGGCATTCATGGAATGTTTCTTTGTACCCTTTTTAAACTTCTAATATTTTTAATGGCAGATGTGAGCAACTTTAATGTATTTCAAATAAATCACATCTCTGTCCATCAAGGGCTGTTTACCAGAAGCTGATTGATTTTGCGTTACGTAATTTATCTGCAGTCTCTCATAAGAATATACCGAACGAATGCTTACTTCTGTGACAAGAAACAACGATGTGCAAAAAATTATTAGCGATATTAGCACCTGGATGAGCGTCAGAATTGAAAAGATGCTTTCTAGTTCTTCAATGGTCCTAAAAATCAAAAATAAGGAATTAAATTATTAACAAATACCTTGTTCTTTAATATCACCAAAAAATTGTTTGTAGATGATCAATACAATTGTTTATTTGTCTATCCATTTCCTTGGCCAAAACGGGGGAATCGTGCATTACGGGCACGTCTCTTAAACCAAGTTTTTGTAAAGATCTAGGTCTTATAGTTTTAAAAGCTCCCTGTAAAACCTTCAGTTGGGCCGATGAATAGTTTGCGATTGAAGTGAACATTGAATCAAAACCTGAAACACTTTGCTAAAAGTAATTGTACCAATCGAGTTATTTTTTTATACCTATTATAATGAAGGCAAAAATGACGAGCGGATACCATTGGTAGATAATGGTGCAAGCGAATAAAATATGCGACGATTTGTAGTTCCACGGTACCACTGAGATGTAGGGTAAAGGTTGGGTATATTCGAACACAGTAATGTTTTTAAATCCATCTTTGATGTAATACCTTTCGTACTTTTCGTGGTTCACAAACAACGTAAGAAACGACTCAATGAGAGCCAGGGTTCCCACAAAAAAACCCGAAACTGCCCAAACGCAATCAATTATTTTCTTGCGTCCCATCTCGTCCGTGACAATTTCCATTGGCCGAAACGTTTCGTAATTTTCGTACTTTTCCATTTTTTCTCCGAGCGCTTCCACAATTTTCATCAGCTTGTCTCGCTTTTTAAGCCAGACGAATAACTTTATCGAGGCCGAAACGTGTTGCATGGCCATGTTCATGTTTTTGATGAACCGTTTCAAGTTTGTGGTAAAAGCCAACGGTATTATTTCCATGGGGCAAAAACTGAGGCAGGCGAATACGGCGATTACGTTGTAGGTTTTCCACAGGGTTCTACGGAAGGCCGGAATTCTGTTCCCCGGTTGAACCACCCCTCCGATAGTTAAAAATATCATATTGTGAGAAAAGTAATCTTTGAATGTTTGATTTCGGGGTTTTTTATCGCCGGGCTCCATTTCACATTAGGGGTTGCTGTTTTTCACGTTTTATTGGTACCTATGTGTATTAGTTTGCTTTGTAGATGTGGGAATTGGGGTAAATGGTGATGTTTTATAAAGGTATTGCCGGTTTTTTTCCTGGATTAATATTTCAGGAGGGTGTAATTGTTTTGTGTATCAACGGTCGATACTGTGAAGTTCGTTTTTAATTGCAGCGGCGAAGAAAATCGCAATTATATTTTAATTAAGAAATTGTGTGGCTTGTATAAGTCAGGGCCGTAACTAGGAGAATTTTGAGCCTGGCCTAACCTATAGTTTGATAAGGTTCACGGCCGTGTAATCAATATATGCCCAAAAACACTTAACGCAAGCAGAAAACCGTTTTTTTTTTCACATTTATATCCAAATATTTGTGATTATCTTCTTTAATTTTTTTGCACTAGGTAGGGGTAGGTATAACATAAAAGTAGTAACTGTTTTTTATCCATATAAAGTAGTACGTCCCAACTACAGATCATTTACTATATACTAATGCAGTATACATTATTCCTATTACAATTTGTAGTTAAATTTATTGCAAAAAAACAAAATATAAATTATTAGCATCTTTAACGCTGCTTCTACATGAAAAAAATATGATTTAAAGACGGAAATTCATCAATCTACTTCAATGAAACCAAAATTATGGCTTAGTTATAACATTTGATTTAGGGTGTCTCGATGCCTCCAGCAGAATTTTCAATAAAACTTTTAATAATTTTTAATCGCATCGATGTATATCTTTCCGAACGTCTTATTTTAGATACTTATTAAAACGATTATTTAAAAAGTTAACTGTCCTCAACCCACAGTCAACGAATATTAAATTTGATCTTTAATCAATCAATTTAAAGAAAATTTAATCCACTAGCGATTACAAATCTTTAATTTTTTATTATATGCACAATTAAATACTAATTAATTTTGTGCCAAGAATTAACATTGTATGCATTATCAACAAATTTAACTAAAATTACTTATAGTCACACATCGTTTTACTTTATTCTTTATTTTTCAAAAAGGTAAAGAACGAATACGACCCTCTTGCGATCTGAAATGTGCATAATGTGTGTAATTATTGTTGCCGCTAAAATATGCAACTAATTCTTTATTTAATTACTTACTGAAACAAACGTAGACAAAGTTAGAGTAGAAAATTTCCCAATTGTGAAATGAATTGGTTTTTGCATTCGTAACATGGTGATAATCATTTTCTTTTTAAAACTTGCGTCCGTAGAAAACCAATCAGCATCGTATATCGCAAAAGGCAAATCATTGCCCTAAAAATCATTATTACCCTTATAAAATTGCTTATATCTATATCAGTGATGCAGGATAACTGATTATGTAACGTGTTTTTTTTAATATTTATAGTATACCTGTTTATAAATATATAAAAACACCAAAATAAACACAAACTTTAGTTATAAATGTTTGTTAGGAATCCGCAATTATTATTTCTATAGTTATAGAGTGTACAAACTAAACCTTCGCTTATAGAAACAAATGTGCATTTGCCTTAAAAATCGGGGTTGTCCTAGACTACTATAAATCGTCAAAAAAAAAATAACATTTTTTATTTTCTCATTGCTGTTGTTGCGTTTCCATGAGCGCGTATTAGGTTTTATATTTCTATGTATGTTTATTTTACATATAGCATTCGCTAATGTGAACAAATCGATAACGTGATAGATTAGTATTGTTTTCTTCGGTTCATACTAGCGAGTGTTCACTGTAAATATTTGTATTACAATAGCTAAACTTTGTATTTATTTGTTTTTGTGTTTTTAAATTTGCCATTTTTTACCATGAGGGTAACTTTATTTCCAAAATAACAATATTGATAGATCTGCCAAGTTACTGCCACCATGTAGATGAATTCTACCACAAATTTGCCACTTCCTACAGCTACCTATAACAAGTAAATTTAATGTTTGTGCATTTTTATTTATCTGTGAAATTATTTAGTTTTTGTGTAAGGCATAAACAAATATCATATTTCAAATAAATAAAAGTAAAACAAAAATACTGGTAGGAAAAGTAGGGAATCAACAAATATAAAGATAGGAGACGAGATTTTAGGTATCCAGGAAGTCAGATAAGTCAGGACGGAAGGAGNTGAAGAAAAAAAAAATCAATTCAAAAGTGAAATACTTATAAAAGGGCTAAATTTAAAATTGCTGCTCAATTTTCTTGCGTTGGTTGTTGTAACTGTTTAAGATGAGCCCATTAAATGTGCTACAGGTTTTCGGGCTCTTAAAAATGCCCATTATTGGTCTAGGAACCTGGCAGGTATATCTCTCTATATTTGGATTCTTTTTCGCTTAGTTAGTAACGAAATTGGTAACAATTTGATTCAAAATTGATCGACTTGTTAGATTAATGGGAAAGATCTGGAAATTTCGCTAGAGGCTGCTTTAGAGGCTGGGTACAGATCTATTGACACCGCAACTTTTTATCAAAACGAAGACGTTATTGGAAGAGTTGTCAAAAGATGGATTGACGCCGGGAAACTTAAACGTAAAAATAATAATTAGAATATTCAATAGAGATACATTAATTTGTTCCACTTGAATGTTGTATTGATGGAAATTGAAGACATAGATTGTTTTCACTTTTTTTTACTAGGAATTTGATTTTGTCCATTTCTAGTTCTGTGAAAATGGAAATTTCCAAAAATATTTATAGGAAACTTTGAATTCTCCACTTTTTTGTTTTGTCTCATCTAATTTAATTAGAAATACAAAATTTCCGTTGTTATTCGCTTGTTATTAGGGGACGATTTGTATATTGTTACAAAACTACCTCCGAGTTTAATGCGCCCTGAAGACGTCGAACCATGTCTTCGTTCGTCGTTAGAAAAATTGCAGGTAGATTACGTAGACCTTTACTTGGTTCACGTACCTTTTGCATTTCGAAATGTCAGTGGTCAAATGGTACCAATAACTGAAAAGGGGCGCATCGATATGGACAAGAGTACAGACCATATTGCCATATGGAAAGTATGTTTTTATAAAACGATTATTTTATTTATTTTTTGCATATTCTTTGAGTTTTAATCTGTTTTCTAATTCTTAATGGCAATCTCCCTGAGATATCTCTCTCTCTTTTTCGTTCTTGGACAGATCAGTATAAGTTTTTTGGCACGTTTTGTGAAACTTGTAGATGATGGAAAAAATGGTGGACAAAAAGATGACGAAAGACATAGGTCTCTCGAACTTCAACATTTCTCAAATAGAACGTGTCTTATCTCACGCTCGTATTCCACCTGTTAATTTACAGGTGGAGTTACATGTTTTTAATCAACAAAACAAATTGGTAAATTATTGCAGAAAACATAACATCTCAGTTACTTCTTATTCTACATTTGCTAGTCCGGGGTGCAAAGTTCTTTTCGACAGTGTCGGACTCAAGTAAGTTTTTACTATTCTTGAACGAAATGCTTAACCAAAAATGACCCCCATGTTCAAAATTAATTTATTTTCGTTATGCGTCCGTGTTGGGTCACAGAAATTCATCATCATCATCATAAGGTCGTCAGTCCTAAGACACGGACCTACACTCTTTCCTATCCTCAGCTNTATGCATTATACTGTACTAGTTCGTTCATATTAATTGTGAACTATACGATATATTTGATGTAACACCTGGTACCCTTATTTTTATAAAATTAAGTTCACCCAGATCGCCTATTAGGAATTTTTGAGAATTAATTGCACAATTTATCGATTATATTTTTTAAGATATTAATCATGTGAAAATCGAATTCATAATGGTGCGCTTAATAATACGAGACATGGAATGGTTCAATTCTTGTTGAGATTTACATAATCTTCTTGTCGAGTTTTTGAAATATGCAGTGTAGAACTAATACGTAACACGAATATTTAGAAAGAAACTTCACAAAAGCCAAAGATTGAATAGTTACATACATATATAGGTATATATATATAGTGGTACAGCCAAATACGTCAAGTTTCAAATTTCTCATTACCTAGCTATAAAGAAGTATCTTGCATACAAAGCCTTCGATCGAACGTAACTTAATAATAACAAAAGGGCATCGCTGTTATACCAAAAAGTAAAGATCCGGAGCGCGTTAAAAGTAATTTCGACATATTCGACTTTGTCTTGGACGACGACGAAATGAAAGAGTTGAACGATTTGGACGCTGATCCACCCATTAGGGTGCTCGACATGACCATGTTTCCCGGGTAATTATGCCTTAATAATTTTTTAAATTTAATTAAAAAGATAAACCGGTAGCCGACTTAAATTTGTGTTTATATCAAAAAAATTTTAGCATAAAAGAACACCCGGAGTATCCATGGTAAAAAAGTCGTTTCAATTTTACACCATATTAGAAGAAGACCACAGAAATGTTTAATTAGTCACAAATAATAAACATGTAATTGTAGCAAATATTTATTATCACACATGGTACTTATGCCACTATAGTGTTTATGAATATATATTTAATAACAATAACAATAACACTGTATTGGGTTGGATTTAAGCAATAAAAGTAATTGTGACGACTGTTTTCTTAATTTTCGAATCTGTGTGGTATACAACCCTTTACGTGTGGCACAGCACTTATTTTTGATGAAAAGAATTTGTCTGTGCTTTATCTTTGAAGGCTGTGGTCGGAACCACAAACAAATTAACCTTGCCAAAAAATATCCCCCAACTTCTAAGGCAAGCAGGAAGGTTCCGGAATTTACCGAATCACATTCACACGTCAGGCAGATTGACTATTAAAAACTATTTTTTATTATCCTTTTTAATTTCTACGCAATAAAGTCCTACTTTTTGACGTGACAACGTCTTATAATTCGATGGAGCCGGCTGCACGCACGAAAAAACATGACTCATGCGGCGTTACCTCGCTCTGAGGCGTTCCATTTAAGGCTTGAAGTGCAAGCGAGAGCGCGGAACGAGCGACAAAGAGGCACAATCGGCTTCCGCGTTCGGCAGCGTTCGACATCTGTCTCTCTCCTACTTGAGTGAGCGATGCGTCCGCGTGGACAGCTGCTATACAATAATACATTTCCATTTACCTCCTCTATATCCATACAAAATATCTATCAAACAAATAAAATTAAAATTTTCTTTTGAAAAATGAAACCATTCCATCAGTATTTTCTTATGACGTTGGCACGTTCAACTATCGTCAGTAAACCGACTTTACAGACAACCGATGGGGCCCGGAGAAAAAAGAATGTCTAGAGTCCCACACAGAAGGTTAATCCGGCCCTGACTACCACACATTTAACTTGTGAGCCCTTCAGATATTAAGGACACTACAAAGTAGATACAGGATATTCCCATCCTTAAAAGTAATAGCAGAAACCGTTTCTAGCAAGTGAGAAAAGAATTCTTCACTCGGTAACATGTATGTTGGTGTTCCGCAGGGATATATGAGTGGCCCTTTCTTTTCTTGTTGGCAAATTAGTTTAGTAGAATTTTTGTTACTATGTAAAGAGTCTATATAGTTTGAACCTTGAAAGCTTATGAAAAACTGGAAAAAATGTCACTGTTTTTTGCGTTTTAATTATTTACCTAAACGAAACGGTGAGCGGCTTGTGATTGGCTTGTTCTTATTGTTTCCAAAGAAAGGGGTGGAGGAAAATCGGAATTAAAGATTGTTTTTTTATAATTGCGGCGCTAGTTAACGAGACGGAAAGTTAATTGAAACTTAATTAAAAGATTGTTCAATCTAATATTCTGATTTAGGAAGTTGTGACGTAACAACCTTGTTGGAATCGTTCAAAATTTTTATAATTTGAACTATTGAGTTGAATTTGGAATGTGTCTTATGTTAAATAATTTTAATAATTTACAAAGTCGATTTCATTGATTATATTGTTCTATTGCATTTTGAGTGTAATCGTCTATAGTCAATAATTCACGGATTCGTATAATTAGTTCTTCTTTCTGCAATTTAACCTTTTTATGCAGAACGAGACGGTTTTTAATTGCAACAGAAAGAAATTGCTAGTGTGTAATTAGTTAATATTTGAAGAAAATAGCGAGATATAAAAAGACAAATTTGAAATTGTTTCGCTATTCTTTTACATTGCTTTGGTCATTAAAAAGAGCGATTGTTTAAAATGAATCCACCGAATGAACTGCAGCCTTTTGGTCCTTTAAAAATGCCCATTATTGGTCTAGGAACCTGGCAGGTATGACGTATCATTTTGGGTACTTCTTTCATTTTAGTTAAGAACATATATTTAGATTAATGGGGAAGACCTCGAAATTTCGCTAGAGGCTGCTCTAGAGTCTGGATATAGATCCATCGATACGGCAACTATTTACCAAAACGAAGACGTTATTGGAAGGGTTGTCAAAAAATGGATCGATGCCGGGAAACTTAAACGTAAAAACCATCGCAGTATTACATTATTTTAGTTGAAATGTGACCAGATTAATATTATTTGATAGGCGAGGAATTGTACATTGTTACGAAACTACCCCCGTGCTTCATGCGCCCTGAAGACGTCGAACCTTGTCTTCGTTCGTCCTTAGAAAAATTGCAATTAGATTATGTTGACCTTTATTTGATTCATGTACCTTTTGGGTTCAAAAATGTCGACGGTCAAATGGTGCCAGTGACCGAATTAGGAGTTGTTGATTTGGACATGAATACAGATCATCTTGCCATTTGGAAAGTAGGTTTTTGCCTAACAATAAGTACTGTCATATTCAATTTTCTTAGCCAGTTGTTTAGTTTGTTAAAATTTTATAGATTTGAAGGTCCCTGTGAGGCATTTTTTAGACCATTTTGTCTTCTTTTCGTATAATAATAATAATATAATCGGTGCCCTATCGTCGATCGAGTGTTATGGTTATTGTAGATGATGGAAGAAATGGTAGACAAGCATCTGACAAGAGACATAGGGCTTTCGAATTTTAACATTCCCCAAATAAGACGCGTCTTATCTCGTTCCCGAATCCCACCCGCAAATTTACAGGTGGAACTGCATGTTTTGAATCAGCAAAATGAATTGGTGAATTATTGCAAGAGGAACCACATTTCGGTTACGTCTTATTCAACATTTGCTAGTCCAGGGTGTAAGCCATTCTTCGACAGCATTGGAATTGAGTAAGCCGTTATGTCATATTAAAAATAATGATTGTGTGTGGCTTGTTTTTGTGGTGCCATGTCCAAAAGGATGATTTTGCGAAATCTTTTGTTTGATTGGGTAGGGAAGTTGTAGAAAGAAGAATGTTAGGTATTATTGCGTTTAATGGTTTAATCTTTATTTTGTTTTGAGAGTTTATATACCCGATCTGTTTTCCGACCCCGTCGTGAAAAAGATTGCCGAAACACATGGGAAGAACCCTGCGCAAGTACTTTTACGCCACATGGCACAAAAGGGCATCGCTGTTATACCGAAAAGTAAAAACCCGGACCGCGTTAAAAGTAATTTCGACATATTCGACTTCGTTTTGAACGACGATGAAATGAAACAACTGAATAATCTAAACGCCGATCCACCAATCAGGGTGGTTGATATGACCATGTTTCCCGGGTAATTACATATTTAACTAATACATTAATGAATATTGAATTTTATGGTACACTTTAAAACCCTTCGGTAGTAAAGTAATCTAGTCACGTAGATTTTTTTTAGGATAAAAGGTCACCCGGAATACCCATGGTAAAAAGTCGTTTTATTTTATTGTAGCAACTATAGAAAAGAAAAACCAACAGTTAGACACTTTTATTTGTGTGTTTATTATGAAATATATTTAATGCTTGGGTCTGTGTTTTTCTTAACCATCAAGACCTTTAATTAGATTATCCTTTGTACTCCATATTATTTATTTCGGTTTTCTTTTTCTATTATTAAGATTTTCTTTAAGGCGAAGGCAATAAAAATAATATAGCAACGATTTTTATTATTTATTTTTTATCATAAAAAATACAAAAGCGGTAATAAATTAATCCTGCGAGAATGGCGACTGTCTATTAGTATCTAAATAGTACGAACCGAAAGCGCTGCAAAGAAATTAGTAATTAATTATTTCCAACTACATATGTACAGTAAAATAAAAATATTTATTTACCTGGTGTCGATCAAGACACCCCCCAATCGCGTCACCCAGTTGCTAAAGCAAGCGCCGCTAGTAAAGGCGCTGTAGCTGCTGCACCGCCAGGCAGTGAACCCTCCAGATATGAGGGACTCCGCAAAGTAGAGGTAGGATCTCGAGTGCGAACAGGATCCAGTAAAGTCAAAACCGCACCCTTAAAAATACGCAAACGTCCTTGAATTTTCTGTTTCAAAAAGGGAATCACAAACAGAATTTTTACGCCCAAAGATTCTTGAATTTTCTGTCCCCAAAAAGGGGAATCACAAACAGAATTTTCATGCCCAAAAATCCTTGACTTTTCTATCCCAAAAAGGGAATCGCAAACAGAATTTTCATGCCCAAAAATCCTTGACTTTTCTGTCCCAAANATAAAGATAGGAGACGAGATTTTAGGTATCCAGGAAGTCAGATAAGTCAGGACGGAAGGAGTAATAGGGATATAAAGCTGAGGATAGCGCAGGGTCGAGTCGCCTTCAATAAAAAGAAGTCACTTCTATGCTCGCGAATGGTTAATTTAGAAATTCGAAAAAGATTGTTAAAGGTGTAAGTTTGGAGCGCGGCGCTGTACGGGTGCGAAGCATGGACGGTGGGCGCGACGGAAACGAAAAGGTTATAGGCGAATGATGAGGATAGCGTGAATAGAGACGGTTAGAAATGAAGAGGTATTAGAAGGAATAGGAGAACAGAGGACTCTCTGGAAGTCAAAGAGAAATAGGCGAGATAGGTTGGTAGGACACCTTCTTAGGCATGAAGGTCTAGTCAGAGACATATTAGAAGTAGAATAGGATTTAGGAGGAGTAGATTAGATTACTGTTTGCAAATAGCTAAGGATGTAGGATGTTCTGGTTTTAGGTAAATGCGAAGATTATCTGAGGATAGGACGGAGTGGAAGTGCGTGTCCAACCAGTCTTAGGACTGATGATGACGTTAATAGAATATAAAAGAATAACCCAGGCTTAAATATGTACCCTTAACTTACCTTATTTATGAAATTTTTAATCAAATCAATACCACCTAAAATCTCACATACTTAAAACGTTTAAAAAATAAAAACTCTAAACATCTAAAATGTAAAATTTTGGTTTCTAGTGTTTTACTCAGTTCATCATTGAAAGTACTTACATCGCTTAGAAGGTACAATGATGTGCAAAACATTATTAGAGAAATAAGCACTTGGATAAGGGTTAGAATTGAAAATATTCCCTCCAGTTCTTCTATCATCCTGTAATAAACGAAAAACTGAAAAATTAAGTCGTGTATGTACCCCAGTACATTCGAACTGGGTGTTTATAATGGACGGTGGGTGCGGTGCATGACTAACCAGAGTTTGGACTAACGACATTGTGATGATTATGACGGTGATCGTGATGTTGATGCACCTTAATATAGTTTGTAGATGATCAATGCACTTGTTAAGTTCCTTATTCATCTCTTTCGCAATTTCTGGAGTATCCCTAATCATCTCAACGTTCCGCAAGCCCAGTTTATGTAAACTTCTGGGTCTGATAGTTCGAAAGGCTTCTTGCAAAACCCTCAACTGAGCAGAAGAGTAGTCCACGATTGTTGTGAACATGCTATCAAAACCTGTAAAGTTTTTCGTCTTACAATAAGAGTTAAATACATTATGTAGGTAATAGAAAAACATCTTTAATCTTCAATCATCTTTACCTACTATAATAAATGCGAAATTAAACACAGGATACCACTGGTATATCAGGGCGCAACCGAATAAAAAATACGACGACTTATAATGCCACGGTATCATTGATACATAGGCCAAAGGCTGCGTATATTCAAAAAGCGTTTCGTTTCTTCCGTTCTCTTCAATAATCGAATACGTTTCGTACTTATCATGCTGAGTTGACAAGATCACAAAAGAATTGATAACTGCAGACGTAGCAACGCTGCAACAGCAATAGAGCCAGATGCAATCTATAATCCTTTTGGATTGCATTTCCTCTCCGACTATTTTAGAAGGTCGAAACGTTTCGTAGTCTTCGTACGTTGCTATTTTTCCTTTTAGTATTTCCACTATTCCGACCAGTCTGTCGCGCTTCTTGAACCAGACGTACAACTTAATGGACGCCGAAACGTGTTGCATGGCCATGTTCATGTTTTTCACAAATTGTTTCATATCGCTCGCGGATGTTATCAACGGCATTATCTCCATGGGGCAAAATCCTACGCTTAACAGCATGCAGACGGCGTTGTAGATGTTCCACAGGGTTCTACGGAAGGCCCTCGCGTCTTTCGATGGTCGCATCATGCCACCTATCGTTAAGATCGTCATGTTATGCGAAAAATGATCGTCGAATGTTGCTTTATTGGTGGAATTTTGGTTTTGATTTTCTATGTTTTTCATTCTTATCTGCTATAGGACAAGGAGTTTAATTTGAACCTTGATGGTTTAAGAAGGACTGATGCAATTACCACTGTTTCTTGTTTTCTTAATTATTTAGTTTAATGAAATGGTTTTTGATTGATTGTTTTGATTGTTGGCAATGGGGTGGAGAAAAATCGGAAGTGGTGATTGCTTTTTAATTGCGGCAGTAGTTAATGAAATGGAGTTAATTGGAACTTAATTAAAAGGTTGTTAGATTCAATAATATTCCTGTTAAGGACATTAGTGTGACGTCAGCTACATACGGAAGAAGATATATAAGAGTAGTAATAAAATCCGATTGTTTAGTGCAGCTCGAAATTTTGTAATTTCAACATGGTCTCAAATAAACAATTAGTTAGTTTCACTTATATTTTACTACAATTATTTCGATGTTTTGTCTTTAAATCTGCTTATAGTTTTATCCATTTGTAGCATTTTAATAGAATGGAATCCCAAATTATGTTGGGCAAATTAGACGGACTCTTAAAAACGAATTGAAGAACATATAAAATACATACTAAATGGCTAAAAATGCACTGGTAAAGTCGACCACTTAATTATCTACAAAAATTTACGATTTAAACTAACTTCGAACACAAAATAAAGGCAAGCAACTTAATTTCTTGGAAATTTTAAAAATAAGGCAAACTGATAAGTAGTCTATCCATAACTAATAACCGAACAGATTTTGTGGTTTTCCTTCTACTAAAGGCTATGCAATAGAAAAGACTATAAACTTGTAGGTACGAATGTAATTGTTAAAGTAATATCTAAGAGATATAGGGATTTATATATAAGTGAACCTAATCAAATGTTTTATTTGTTTATTTATTTTGTCAGTTGCACTGAGTGCCTAGTGAAGATTCAATTACTGATAAATATATAATTAAAAAATACTTTCTACAGGTACAGCTGCAACTAAATTTTATTTTTTAATGTAATTCTAAAGGATTTGTAATATACTATGTAAAGTGATCTCAGTATTAACAAGTAAATGTACCAAGTACTTTTGTTAATTTATTTCGTCGATTATAAAATAACATTTTCCATTGACTGCTACAGTTCCACAGATAATTTTCCGTTGTAAATAATTTAGAAATAGATACGGTTCGTACAATTAGTTCTTCTTTCTGTATTTCAAGGTTTTTATGTTTTTAATTGCAACAGAAAGAAATTGCTAGTATGCATTACGATTGGTTAATATTTGAAGAAAAAAAAAATCAATTCAAAAGTGAAATACTTATAAAAGGGCTAAATTTAAAATTGCTGCTCAATTTTCTTGCGTTGGTTGTTGTAACTGTTTAAGATGAGCCCATTAAATGTGCTACAGGTTTTTGGGCTCTTAAAAATGCCCATTATTGGTCTAGGAACCTGGCAGGTATATCTCTCTATATTTGGATTCTTTTTCGCTTAGTTAGTAACGAAATTGGTAACAATTTGATTCAAAATTGATCGACTTGTTAGATTAATGGGAAAGATCTGGAAATTTCGCTAGAGGCTGCTTTAGAGGCTGGGTACAGATCTATTGACACCGCAACTTTTTATCAAAACGAAGACGTTATTGGAAGAGTTGTCAAAAGATGGATTGACGCCGGGAAACTTAAACGTAAAAATAATAATTAGAATATTCAATAGAGATACATTAATTTGTTCCACTTGAATGTTGTATTGATGGAAATTGAAGACATAGATTGTTTTCACTTTTTTTTACTAGGAATTTGATTTTGTCCATTTCTAGTTCTGTGAAAATGGAAATTTCCAAAAATATTTATAGGAAACTTTGAATTCTCCACTTTTTTGTTTTGTCTCATCTAATTTAATTAGAAATACAAAATTTCCGTTGTTATTCGTTTGTTATTAGGGGACGATTTGTATATTGTAACAAAACTACCTCCGAGTTTAATGCGCCCTGAAGACGTCGAACCATGTCTTCGTTCGTCGTTAGAAAAATTGCAGGTAGATTACGTAGACCTTTACTTGGTTCACGTACCTTTTGCATTTCGAAATGTCAGTGGTCAAATGGTACCAATAACCGAAAAGGGGCGCATCGATATGGACAAGAGTACAGACCATATTGCCATATGGAAAGTATGTTTTTATAAAACGATTATTTTATTTATTTTTTGCATATTCTTTGAGTTTTAATCTGTTTTCTAATTCTTAATGGCAATCTCCCTGAGATATCTCTCTCTCTTTTTCGTTCTTGGACAGATCAGTATAAGTTTTTTGGCACGTTTTGTGAAACTTGTAGATGATGGAAAAAATGGTGGACAAAAAGATGACGAAAGACATAGGTCTCTCGAACTTCAACATTTCTCAAATAGAACGTGTCTTATCTCACGCTCGTATTCCACCTGTTAATTTACAGGTGGAGTTACATGTTTTTAATCAACAAAACAAATTGGTAAATTATTGCAGAAAACATAACATCTCAGTTACTTCTTATTCTACATTTGCTAGTCCGGGGTGCAAAGTTCTTTTCGACAGTGTCGGACTCAAGTAAGTTTTTACTATTCTTGAACGAAATGCTTAACCAAAAATGACCCCCATGTTAAATTTTAATTTATTTTCGTTATGCGTCCTTGTTGGGTCACAGAAATTCATCATCATCATCATAAGGTCGTCAGTCCTAAGACTGGTTGGACACGTACCTGCACTCTTTCCTATCCTGAGCTAATCTTCGCATTTCCCTAAAACTAGAACATGCAACATTCTTAATTATATTATTTGTGAACTTTGTAAACAGTAATCTAATCTAGGTGTAGCTCTTT